GGGGTGTCTGGGGGTGTCTCGGGGTGTCTCCGGGTGTCCCGGGGCTCGTTCCGCTGGGTGTTTCGGGGTATCTCGGGGTGTCTGGGGTGTTTTGAGGTGTCTCGAGCTGTCTCGGGGTGTCTGGGGGCGTTCGAGGTGTCTCGGGGTGCTTCGAGGTGTCCCGAGGTATTTCGAGGTGTCTCCGGGTGTTTCGGGGTGTTTCAAGGTATCTCGGGGTGTCTCCGGGTGTTTCAGGGTGTTTTGGGGTGTCTCGGGGTATCTCGAGGTGTTTCGAGGTGTCTCCGGGTGTTTCGAGGTGTCTCGGGGTATTTCGGGGTGTCTCAGGGTGTTTCGGGGTGTCCCGAGGTCTCTCGGGGTGTTTCAAGGTGTCCCGAGGTATTTCGGGGTGTCTTGAGCTGTCTCGGGGTCTCTCCGGGTGTTTCAGGGTGTCTCGGGGTATCTCGAGGTGTTTTGGGGTATTTCGGGGTGTTTTGGGGTATCTCGAGGTGTTTCGAGGTGTTTTGGGGTATTTCGGGGTGTTTTGGGGTGTCTGGGGGTTCGTTCCGTGGGGCACCAGGCGGGACGATCGGTCTCTCCTCGCTCTGCTTTGGCTTCGTTCCGCTCGGGGCAATTTGACTTTATTTCGCGAGGTTTGAGTGTGCTCTGAATTTTTAGTTTTGGTTGGTCTGGGTTTGGTTTTTTTTAAAATTTTGGGTTTGCTCCTTTTGGTTTTGTTTTATTTGACTTTATTGTTTCGCTTTAATTTGTGGGGTTTTTCCTTTATTTTGCGTTTTTATCTGCCTTTCTTTTCTGTTTTTATATCCCTTTATTTTCTATTTTTATTTTCCCCTATTTTCTATTTTTATTTTCCCTTAGTTTCTATTTTTATTTTCCTTTCTTTTATATTTTTATTTCCCTTTATATTTTTTCCTTCATTTTGCTTTTTTATTTTGCTTTATTTTATATTTTTATTTTCCTTTAGTTTGCATATTTATTTCCCTTTATTCTCTATTTTTATTTCCCTTTATTCTCTATTTTTATTTCCCTTTATTCTCTATTTTTATTTTCCCTTATTTTCTATTTTTATTTTCCTTTATTTTGCTTTTGTTCCTTTATTTTGCTTTTTACTTTTTTCTTTTCCTTTATTTTCTATTTTGATTTCCCTTTATTTTCTATTTTTATTCTCCTTTATTTTCTAGTTTTGTTCTCCTTTATTTTGCTTTACTTGTTGTTTTCTTTTTTGCATTTTCATTTTGCTTTATTTTTGCATCTATTTTCACTTCTTTATTTTCCTTTATTTCGCTTAATTCCTTTGCATTATCATTTCACTTTACTTCGCTTCTTTATTTTCCTTTATTTTCCTCTTTGATTTCTCTTGATTTCATTTTATTATTTCACTCTTTTTTTTTTTGGCTTTATCTTTTGGCTTTTCCTTTTGCCCTTTTTTTTATTTCACATTCTTTCACTTTTGGATTTTTGCTTCTTATTTTCCTGCCTTATTTTCACTTCCATTTCTCCCCCACTGGGGTTTGGGTGGGCTCTGGATCCAGCAAAGATTCCCTGAAACTTTGGCCTAACCAGGTACAACTGCTTTCCTTTCCATCCCATTGGGATATGTGTTCACCATCGGAATTCCGGCACGTTGGACTCTGCTCTGGACATACACCAATGAATCCATGAAGGAACAAACCCTAGGGATGCTCCAAGATCCTGTGACCAAATAAATCTCTGCATCCCCCCAGGAGCTGCTTCCTATGAGCAGGCTGATCCAACTCAATATTCAGGGATGCTCCGAGCGCGTTGGGCTCCGCAGTTGGAGCATAACATCCGCGTTGTGGCATCTTCTATCAGCATCCAGGTGGATTTTAAGGTTGTGAAGGACCATCTTGCCTTGCTCACCCCATCGACAGAGCAATCCCAGGATAAAGGATGTAAGGTGATGTTGGGTAGGAAAAGTCATCCAGATGTTAGGAAGAAGCTGAGACATGATATCATGCTGGAGAAACCCTCCAAGGCTCCTTGCCTTGTCCTTGTCTCTCATTCCCAGGATTACAGAAGTAGCACAGCCTGTGCAACCTTTGCCCATTTCCTTTTGAAATCACCCTGGCTGGCACGGAAGTTTCCAAAGGGGTGAGAGAGGAAGTGTGTTGTGGCAGGAAAGAGAGGAGTGTGACACCCTTTGGAGGCTTCTTTGGGTGCATGAGCTTGGCCATAGTCCTTGTCCCCACCCTCCCTGCTGTTGCCTGATGTCCCTTTGGATCTCCTTGGTCCATATTTTGCTCCAGATCCACAGCAAAGCAGCACTTGGGGGTTAAATTTTCCCCCATGAGCTGCTTATTTTAAGGGTTTAACCCAGTTTTACTGCTGAGAGGCAGGAAATGTTCTAATCCTGGCTTAACACCTCAAAGCAGGAAT